CGTCGCCCGTCCGCCTCGCCGCTGCGGCATTGACGTCGTGCTGTGGCGGCGTCTAGGGCAGCCAACGGATTCGTCGGGCTGCAGCCGGCCAAGCGACGTCTGTGGTGCCGCCGGACCTGCCGCCCGCTCGCTAGCCACGGGCGTCACTCAGGACGCCGTCCTCCTGCTAGTAAGCGCCGCGCCATTTATGGCGCGTCGCTGAAGACTCCCCCCTTCCCCCCCATTCTCCCTTCCCCCTGCGACTTCCCTTCCTCCTGTCGCAGCTGCTGTCTTCTGCCCGGACGTTGCCACACCGACGAGAGCCCTCAGCCGTGGCAGTCGCTGCCTGCCGTCCGCGACACAGCCGCCTTGAGCAAGAGCTCCGCCGCTGCTTGTCGCTGAGCCGCCCAGACGCCGTAGGCTGCCACGCGCCCGGGGGTGTCAACGCTTAGCACGAGGGTCAGATACCCGGCTAAGCACGAGCTTGAGGGTGTGCGGGGTTAAGGGGTGTGTTGGGTGGGTGTGTGAGTACCAAGCCTAGGGGGTGTGTTCAAATTATTTAAGTTATATATAATTGATAGGCTTGGTAGTTATTACTGAACCTTACTGTAGAGGGTACAATCCCCTCCTTGTACCCCTCTCTCGTCCTAATCGACGATCTTCTCTCTCGTCAATCTTCCTAGCTCAACCTCGGCCGCCATTTCATGGCGACCTTCTCATTTCTTGCTAGTTCAGTTCACAACAGTAACTACTCCTGGTGTTTTCCTGTAAAGTTACAATGGTTCAGTTTATAAGACCCACTTCCACCAATTTTTTACCCGTTTATAAAACCCTTTTGACTGTTTCTAAACGGTATGTGATAAGACCCATAAGTCTTCTATCCAGGCTAATACGGTATATTGTATGTTGTTGTAGACTATATGGGGTTGTGTCTTAGGGAGTACAACACATTATGTTATATTCCCTTGTATGTCTTGTTCTTGTTATTCTTTCACTTTGATACGATCTACGTTTGAGACCCCAAGCCTACACGCGACGTTGCATCCGACACCTCTGTGTCCCGAGGCGCCCCAAACCATCTCGCGTGTGTTTCGTTGTCTTCCTAAAGGCTCTCTTGCTAGGCTAGCTGTGCTTGTATTTAGCCCTGTGCTTCATCTGTACTCGACACACTTTAACCACGACATCACGATTGCATTACTCGACTCCTATCCATAGATTATCGTAACACGATATGGCTACTATACCATGGTATTGACTGTAGCCGTTACGTTACAGTCGATAATATGGATTCTGAGCATCGCCGGATCAGCTGGCTGATTTGGTTTTTGTTGGGACTGTAGCTGGCGACTTTTGGCGACAGCCCCGAATTCGGCATTATGATGTATTCCCGCCCGTCATCACTTGTACAGTTCGGTTTACGTTTTTTTTACAGCAATTTCCCGTTTGTCCATGGAAGTATGCCCAGAGTCCACGAAACTATGCAAGGTGTCCACGGGAGAAAGCAAAGTTCGATATGCTGTCTATGAAAGTATGGCCTGTCCATGGAAGTAGGAAAGTTTTCGTGGACATATCGCGGCAGTAATTCTTCCGAGAGGACTGCTCTTAAGGGGTTTTAGCCTTGGCAGTCAAATCAGTAGGGAAATTAATTGCTGCTACCGTCATGCTGGCATGGCGCGTTTTTATGCGTTTGAAACCTTCCCGTCATCCAGCTACATGCCTCCGTTGGTTTAGGGTTTACCCATCCCGAAACGGCATGCGGACCCCTATGGGATTTATTTTGTTTTGCCCCGGGCAGCCTGCTTGCCTGATTTGCGTGCCTAAGGTAGCCCGAAAATATTTCGTTTAGCAGCAGGTTCGGATGACTTGTTTCATATAGCTTCCTGTTTTGGCTCCGAACCTCTATAAGCTTATCCAACCCGGGGATTGGGTCATCCCCACCGCTCCACCTGCCAGAACCCCCCCCTTATTTACCAAGTCACTGAAATCCGCCCACATTCCTCCATCGTCGCCCGCCCCCACTCCGTCAACGCAGACCTCCACATCGACAGAGAGGCAGGTAACTCCTGCATCCTCCCCCTCTTCACTGTCACTGCCGTCTATGTAAAGGGCCGCTGGTTGGCAGGCCCTTTTTACATAGGAGCAGGCCTGGGGGCGCGGCTAGAGATACTGCAGGATGGGGAACCAACACTCGCCGACTTACGTAGCCGCCTCTACGTGCAACAACCTCTCACACACCGTGACCGTTGGAACGCCGCCCTCCCTGCCTTCCCGCCTCTTCTCCTCCCTGACCTTACGCATGAATTCCTCAAATACCAAACCAGCCTCCATCGGGACCTCCTTTTCAGATTTTACACCCGCTCACTCCCCTCTGGTGCCCGTTTCAACTTCGCCGCAGACAGAGGCATATGTACACGCTGCTCCGCTGGCGTCACGGAGACCCTCACACACATTTTCTTTGAGTGCGGTGCTGCGAGACCAATCACCGCAGCTCTCGAGCGTGTCGCTTCCCGCCACCTCGGTGTCCGCATCTCCCCTGTACAATCCCTTTTTCCCCTCCACACCAGGGCCGGGCAATCAGCCCCATGGAGCCTGCTAGTGGGAGCTGCTGCCAAGACCATCTGGAACGCCCGCTGCAACCACAAGTTTAACGAGATCACGACTCACATGCTCGAAAGTCTCTACGCTGTCCTCGCAGCCTTCCTTCTCTCCTGCAAAATTTTCATCTGGCGGTCTACAACACAGGCCAGGAAAAAACAGCTCCGATCTGCCAACCGAATAAAGCGTGCTAAACAACTTCGCTTCCTCCTCCTACCAAGCGAGTTCCCCCCTTCCATCCACCCTAATCTCCGTAAATCTTGGCTCCTCAACGAAGCCTTCCGCCCACCCTAGGTCCCCTCCTCTGCACCTGCCCCATACGCATGTCAATGCAGAACGGATGGCATTCTCCCGCCTCCGCTATACCTTAGTTTAGAAGGATAACGTGTGTCCACGTGCTCCCTATAGGGTGCTGGATCCGCCATTTCCTTTTCTGCGTTGTCTTTGTAACAGTTACGACTGAAATATAACCTTAACCTTAACCGAACCTCTATAAGGGTCCCAAGTCATTACTCGCACGTGTTGACGGTGAGAGCAAGTTTTTTTCCCACTGATTTGACTGCAGAAGCTAAGACCCTGCTCCCAAGCACGCGGTGCGACACCGGCGACTCTGACGAAAGTGCCTTCTTGCCCAATCTTCCTCATCCGGCTTGCGACAGTTCGCATTTCTAGCCAGAGTTAGCATGTGAATACCTTTACACATTGTACTATTTACCCTTTGATCTAGGACGGGCCGTGGCTGTCTCAAGCAAATATTAGAATAGCGTAAGGTTTTTTTTTTTTTTTTTTTTTTTTTTTTTTTTTTTTTGACCATTATGGACCTCAACGAGCTTCCCACAAGGTTACACGAGGATCACAGCATAACCGTATCACTGCTCGTCGAGTCCGCCCTACTCTGCCTACATAGCTAGACACAATCATTTAGGGTTTCCATTTCTCGAAGCGTCAAGCCGTGCTGGGCGTGTTTGAGTCGAAAATTTCCAGAGTAAAATGTTGCCGCGATGTAGGCGTACATCATATAGCGTATCCACAACCCTATCTTCGGAGGGCGTGTTTTTAGAAGGTGTCATCCCAACAAAAGTGTCATTCGAGACTGTTGGGAACCCGTCGTAACCGTTGAAGTTTCGAAATATCGGTTGAGATGGGTTTCCGACATTCTCGGATGACACATTTTTGGGATGACACATTTTTGGGATGACACCAACTGAAAACCCGCCCTAAAACAGGCCTTCCTTTCACAACAGCACCATCAGGCGTGATTTTTCGTGGTAGGGCTTCAAAAGGAGGGCCACCAAGAAAAATCCGAATTTTGTCATACCCAGGGCGCTGCGCACACCGTATCTGCCAACGAAACACCCAGCCAGAAATTCCTTCTACCGCAGAGGTTGGTTTTATTGATAGGTCGTAACCAAAATTCTACCACAGAGGCTGGGTGTAAGTTATGCAAGTCGAAGTTTTGCCACTCAAGTAAGCTGGAGGGGATGGCTAAGAAGTCGGCGAAGTAATGGTTTCACAGAGACGATGCGCTCCCGCGCGCAACCGGTCAAGTGTGAGTTTTTGCTGAGACTTGCTGTTGTATTGGGGAATATATCTCAACAGACAGCCGACTCTGCCCAGAAGCATCTGCCCGCGGGCAAAAACCCAGGGGGAGTTTGGGAGGGGGGTGGGGGGGGGGGCATGCGACTCGGGAAGCATCAACCCTAAGGGCGTGGTAAAATGCAGTGCGATCCAAGGCGACCCATCGCCACTAGCAGCCAATATGCTGTCAGTTATCCTGGGCGACAAAGCGGTTAACGAACAATCGTGCGCACTGGTGCGCACCAGTGCAGTCAACTGCTGGATCTTATGAGTGCGCTCTACAGCGCACCACACAGCGCGCCAAACTAGCGAAACTTTGTAGCGAGCTTCGTGAGTGCTGCAACACGTTTCGCGAATTCATATCCGCGCCAAACCACTTTCACCCTTGTGCCACGTAGGACAACAACCCACCCACGAACCTTCCCTTTCCTTGCCTCGAAACAACTCAACCCAACCTGCCCCAAAACACTCTCGCACCACCCCGAACCATGGAATCCCCTGGTGCGCACTAGTGCGATCCTAATCAACGCAATCTTCACAATTTCACCACGCCCTAAATTCACGGACCTACCCCCAGATCTGAAATCGAAAACTCATGAATTTTCAAGGTGTGTATCATTTTTACACGTCTTTCCGACTTTGATATCGTGTTTACCCGGCCAATTCTGACAAGGAGCGGAGTCTCACCCTGCACTGGCAGGGTGACTCTCGGTTCCTGCTCGGATATGGGCTGGGTGCCCTAAAACACATCGAGAGCCCTGACGACCACCATCCAAAAGCAAGGAAAACAGCAGCAGTGACCCCCCCTATCAAACTAGCTCCTCGCTCCGTGCTTGCTCGTTGGCTTGGCACAAGATTTGGGGGGGCTGTTCCCTGGCAGACTTTCTGATAACACCCCCGGAACCACCTCTGCTGCTAACAGGTCTCTCCTCAGTATTCCAGTTCCGAAGTGCTTCTTACATTTATTCTATTTTCTTTTTCTTTTTCGGGATCCAGATTCGCAAGCATGGGTTCCCAAAGCAGCGATTCCGGCGAGAGTCCTTCTACCTTACTTTCGGCCGGTACTGCCGCTGACGGAGTCCGTCATGTTTCCGTCTCCGTGGCGGCTGACGGATTGCATCGCCGGTCAGCTGACGTCAAGCGCGGCGGCGAAACTAAGGAGAATAGGCAGGTCGCGGCAAGCGGGATCCTGGAGGTTCCGAACGCCGGCGATTCCGAGCAGCTAAGCAGGACATCGAGCGATCGGGAGAGCGACCGTCAATGGCGGCTGGACCACAGCCAGTTCGCCGCTGCCAGGAGGGATCTAGGCAACGGTAGTAGCGGCTTGGGAAGAATGGGAATTCTCCGAGGTAACATAAGAATCTTTAAGAAAATTTGGCGTAATGCACCTCTCTGAAATAGCTCCTATAGTTCGCATTCTGAATTAGATGGCCTTTCTGGAAGACTCCGAGTCACAACCTCCTCCCTCTCCCGCGTTGTTGCCAATTCCCCCGCCACGTGCCATCGTGTCAGTAAGCAGCACGGACGACGCGATCAACGGGTACTACCGGCGGCAGAACGAGATGATTGACGGATTCAGTGAGATGGACGCGCTCAGTGAACGTCTGCTGCGACCCACTGCTGAGGTCAGTGAACGTACGGCTCACTGCTGACGTCAGTGATACGTCTGCCGCGACCCACTGCTGACGTCAGTGAACGTCCGTTACGGCCCACTGCCGAGGTCAGTGAACGTCTGCTGCGATCCACTGCTGACGTCAGTGAACGTCTGCTGCGACCCACTGCTGAGGTGCGTTCCAAGTTCCACCTGAGTCAACTCAACGGTCACTTTGACCATTCCTTAGAGGGGAATAGAGAGCCCTAACGCGAATGACTGCCTCCTTGTGGTTAGGTGAGAAAACTGCTGTTACGGCCCACTGCTGAGGTGAGGTGAGCTAATTTCTTAGTACAACCAACTTCAATACAATAGCGTGTGCTGTGGTGCGATGATGGCTCTGGTGCTCTATGGCCAGGGTGTGTACTGTGTAATAACCCTCCTCTCAGGCTTCTCTCAACCTCCTCCTTCCATGTGCGTTCAGGAGGTCAGTGCAGCACCCAAGACAACACGAGGTGATTCGTTAATCGTCGACTTAAGAATCCCCTTCTCCTCGACTTAATAACAACTGCTCTCGACCTCCCCCCAACCTCCTCCATCCACGTGCGTAGGAGGTCAGAGCAGCCGCCACGAGAGCGCGAGGCGAGCACTGGGCGATTCAGATCTCCAACATTGCTAACATCATCCTCTTAATTGTCAAGGTGCGCATTGTGCTTGTGGTCTGCTTCTTAGTCGACTCAAAAGGCGCTGGTATTCCGCGTTTGAGGCGCCTCAAACAAAGGCGAGCGCTGGGCGATTCAGATCTCCAACATTGCTAACATCGTCCTCTTAATTGTCAAGGTGCGGTGCTAGAGTTCCGCTCCGTATAGTCACAATCTATAAGGAGCTACACGTGTCCTCGTCATTGTCTAGATGGGATTTCTGGTAACATTACTTCTAACTGGCGTCACCGCTGTGTTGAGATATTGCCTGTTTTATTTTATGGTAGCCGGGATAGTGGGTCAAGTGAGAGGCGCACCGAATCAGGCACGATAGCAAGGCAGTCGGACTGCCATTAGCATCTGGTTTCTGCCATTGCCGTTTGGCACTCTGCCCAACATAACCACTCCTCTCCTTCCTTCTTTCCTGCCTTCTGTCTTTGCTTTCCTTCTTCCATTGATCTCTCTCACCTTTTATCCAATCTTCTCACTCCATTCCGCTCCACCTCACCTCACCGCACTCCACTCCACCGCACTCCGCCGCGTTCTAAACAGGGGGTGGCGTCCATCGAATCCGGCAGTCTGTCCATCATCGCGTCAACGCTCGACTCGCTGCTGGACATGCTATCGGGCTTCATCCTCTGGTACACGGCTCGCTCCATGCGCCGCCACAACCCCTACAAGTACCCCATCGGCAAGGCGCGCATGCAGCCCCTGGTAAGTAGGTCTTTCCCAAGTCATCCCAAACACACTATTATCCACTGCACCACATTGCACCGCACCGCACTGCACTGTCTGGATCTGCTGTCGGGCTTCATCCTCTGGTACACGGCTCGTTCCATGCGCCGCCAAAACCCCTACCTGAGTTGGAAAATCCGCCGTGGAAGCCCTGCGTATTGCGGATACATGCAACCGTATATCCGCAACACGCTGATACGCTGGAAATCTGCGATACGCAAGCCCGGGCTGCCCGCGCAAATAAAAGTTTGTTAGTTAGTTAGGTTTTTTTCTTCTTGTTCTTCTTCTTCTCTCTCTTCTTCTTCCGCGATTTCGCAAGTCGCAAATTTCGCTGTCATACCCTAGCCTGATTTCCACCTGTTTGAAAGTCATCTTGTGAAAATTGTTGCCCATTTCCTCCCCCACTTCTCAGATCTGAGCTAACTTTTGTCGATTGCCTAGTCCATTGTCTCTTTCCCTTCAGCTTAGACCTACCTTCTTAGTTTCCATGGCGTCGACTCCATCAATTCCCGCAAGCGCTTCCGCCCTGACAATTGTGGGCGAGACGTCCTCCTCCTCCACCACCGTTTACGTTAAAGTTGATGAGAGCCAACGACATGTTCAAGCACTACGACACGGCTGTCGTCGCGGATGGCAAACCCACTGACAACCCATTGCTTCCCCTTCTCCCCTTCCCGCATCTCCTCCCCCCCCCCTCTCTTCCTGCCCCCGGGTGTTTGTTGGCTGTCCGGGAGATTTTTTTACCTGCCCGAACATGTGTATTCCGTGCGTATTGGACCCCCGGATCCATGCGCATTGTGTATATACGTCTGCGTATATAGAGTGCGTACAATACTCAATACACGTATTTTTCAACATAGACCCCTACAAGTACCCCATTGGCAAGGCGCGCATGCAGCCCCTGGTACGTAGGTCTGGGCTTCCACCCTCCCTCTCCTCTCACTCCACGCTTCCTTTGCTCCCCATCCCACTACATGGCACTTCTGGCACTATTCCCCCCCGCCAGGGCATCAGAGTGTTTGCGTCCATCATGCCACTCTCGAATTCCCACCCACTCCCTTCCCTCACATGTGTTGTCCGCGCACCCACCACTATCCCCCGCCAGGGCATCATAGTGTTTGCATCCCTCATGGCCACTCTCGGCTTCCACCCTCTCCCTGCTCCCACCGTTCTTCCTCCCCCACCCCACCCCAATACCCGCTCCCCACTCCTATCCCCTCTCCCCCCGCCAGGGCATCATAGTGTTTGCGTCCCTCATGGCCACTCTCGGCTTCCAGATTCTGCTGGAAGGCGTCAGGCAACTCGCATCCTCAGTAAGGGCTGGCTCGCAGACTCGGTAAGGGCTGGCTCGCAGACTTGGTAAGGGCTGGCTCGCAGACTCGGTAAGGGCTGGCTCGCAGACTCGGTAAGGGCTGGCTCACAGACTTAGTAAGGGCTGGCTCGCAGACATGGTAAGGGCTGGCTCGCAGTCTCGGTAAGGGCTGGCTCGCAGTCTTCATAAGGGCTGGCTCGCAGACTTGGTAAGGGATGGCTCACAGCCTTGGTAAGGGATGGCTCACAGCCTTGGTAAGTGCTGGCTCACAGACTCGGCGAGGCGTGATTGCAGTTGCAGGTGCCTTGGCGCTGTGAGCAATACAACGAGCTGGTGCATATTGGGGATCTTGGTGCATATTGGGGATCTTGGTGCATATTGGGGATCTTGGTGCATGCAGGGGTTTTACTGCATGTGGGGATGTTGCTTGGGGATATTGCTGCATGTGGGAATATTGCTGCATGTGGGGATATTGCTGCATGTGGGGATATTGCTGCATGTGGGGATATTGCTGCATGTGGGGATATTGCTGCATGTGGGGATATTATTGCATGTGGGGATATTATTGCATGTGGGGATATTATTGCATGTGGGGATATTATTGCATGTGGGGATATTATTGCATGTGGGGATATTATTGCATGTGTATTGCTGCATGCATGTGGGGTCTTGCTTGTTCCGGTGGGGATCATGCTGTTTGCCATCGCAGCTAAGGCTCCTCTCACGTCCCTCCATTCATGTATGTATGTCTGTATGTCCCCCCTCCTTGGCCCTTCAGTCGCACGATGCTGGTGTGGGCAGCAAGTGACAGGTGGACGCCGGGATCATTCTTTCGCATCTACTCCCCGGTGGCTTAGTCAATGAATTGACTATGGCAGGCGCCCAAGTCTCTTCATCTACTCCCCTCCTTCTTCCCTTCCTCCTCTCCCATCCTCCCGCATCCTCCCACACCCCCTTCAGAGCCACGACTCCAGCCTGGTAGCAAGCAAGTGGCACTGTGGCAGGAGTATGCGGGGGACATGGTGTTTTGAGGCTCATTTTTGAGGGGCCTCCTTGTAGTTACGCCTTTGCTCCTGCTCCCTGATTCTCCCTTCTCCTTCAAAACCAGGACCCCAGTCTGGGCGACCAGTGGCAGGTGTACGTGGGGATCATGGTGTGTTGAGGCCCATTATTGAGGCGTCTCAAAAGCAGATTCGTAGTTATGCGTTGGTTCCTGCTTTCCCTTTCCCTTTTTCCCTTTTCCTTTTTCCCTTTCCCTTTTTCCCTTTCCCTTTTTCCCTTTCCCTTTTTCCCTTTTCCTTTTTCCCTTTTCCTTTTTCCCTTTCCCTTTTTCCCTTTCCCTTTTTCCCTTTTCCTTCAGAACCACGAATCCAGCCTGGGCAACAAGTGGCAGGTGTACGTGGGGATCATGGTGTTCGCAATCGTAGTCAAGGCTGCCCTCTACATCTACTGCCGCATGTTTCCCAACAACGACATCGTCATGGCATATGCCCAGGTGAGATGGTTCTTGTGTTGTCACGACATACGCCCAGGTGCGATGGTTCTTGTGTCGTCACAGCCATTACCCCACGACTGCTGTCAAGTCTGCTCTCTTCGTCTACTGGTGGATGTTCCCCAAAAATGGCATCATCATGACATCCGCCCAGGTGAGTCACATAGACCATCTCTGTGTGCATCCGTCCAGGTGAATTAACCTTTTAGCCGAATTTTTAGTATGCTTTTGAGTCGACTCAAAAGCAGACTTTTGAGTCACAGAGAGTCCATCTCTCTGTGTATCCGCCCAGGTGAATTACAGATGCCGTGACATCACCATGGGCAAGTATGTCACAATACCAGAGGGTTTGTCCTGCAAGGCGGCGGTGCATCACCATGACACCATGACACCATGACACCGTGAGCCCATGACACCATGACACCATGACACCATGACACCATGAGCCCATGACACCATTTTGAGACGGCTCAAAGCTCTCTTTCTCTTACACATCATGGGCACTCCATGCCTGTCTGCAAGATCATTTCTTCGACATCGTCACCAACGTCGTTGGGCTGAGCGCTGCTGTGCCGTGGTTGCCAGCAGATGAAGTTCCTGTAGATAATTTAATGTCTCCTGCCCCATGTGTCCATCCCTCCCCATGCCCGCAGGACCATTTCTTCGACGTGGTGACCAACGTCGTTGGGCTGGGTGCTGCTGTGCTTGCGGGGCTGTTTGCCTGGTGGATCGACCCTGTCGGCGCTATTCTGGTACGTGCTGCCCCTGTTGGGAATATGTCGACCCTGTTAGGGCTAACCTGGTTTCCAGTTAAAGAGCCAAGGGGAGAGGTGGGGCGTGCAGGAGGTGGCAATGGTTGGGTGGGAGAATTTGTGAATTGGCCCTGTTGGCACTATTCTGGTTAGGAGGAAAGAGAGGGGGGATGGTGAGGGGCTAGGATTAAACCAAACGGATCACCAACCCTCTCTTCCCTCTCCCTTCTCCCCCTCCCCCCCCACCCCGCCCTCTACACCATGGTCAACTGGGGTCGCACAGTCCTGGAGAAATTCATATCACTGCCTTATCCCTTTCAATTCCCTTAGCATTCACGGGTTGCCTGTGTTCCTCTCTCTCCTCCCCCCCTCAGCTCGATGGTCAACTGGGGCTGCACGGTCCTGGAGAATGCTAATTTTTCTGCTTTGTCCCTGCCCTGCCCCCCTCCATTCCCTCCAATCCCCCTCCCTGCCCTCCTCCGGCCCAGCTCGCCCAGTACGCCATGGTCAACTGGGGCCGCACGGTCCTGGAGAACGTCAAATCACTGCCTTATCCCTCTCACCCCACTCTCTTCCCTCTCGACTCTCTCTGCTTCCCTCCCTACTCTCCCCCCCTCCACCCCGCCCCCCGAAGCTCGCCCTCTACACCATGATCAACTGGGGTCGCACGGTCCTGGAGAACGTCAACTCTCTGACGGGGCGGTCGGCGCCGCCCGAGTTTCTGCAGAAGATCACGTACCTGTGCTGGAACCACCACGAGGCCATCCTCGCTATCGACACCGTGCGCGCCTACACCTTTGGCACGCTCTACTTTACCGAAGTAGACGTCGTGCTACCCAGAGAGATGCCACTCGAGGTGAGAGAAGTGATGACTGAGGTGGTGTGTAGGGGTGGGAGCAGGCTTTGACACCGTGTGCGCATACACTTTTGGCACGCTCTACTTCACCGAAGTGGATGTGGTGCTTCCCAGGGACATGCCACTCGAGGCTAGCAGTGACGCCCAGGGTGGTGGGTAGGGATGTGAGCTGGCTTTGACCCAGTGCGCGCGTACACCATCTGCACGCTCTACTTCACTGAGGTAGATGTGGTGCTGCCCAGGGACATGCCGCTCGAAGTGAGAGAAGTGATGACTGAGGTGGTGGGTAGGGATGTGAGCTGCCATTGATACCGTGCGTGCGTGCACCTTTGGCATGCTCTACTTCACCAACATGGAGGTCGTGCTGCCCAGGGACATGCTGCTAGACGTGGGTGTGTGAACTGCACTGTGAGCGGTGCCCCTCGAGGGCGTGCACCTTTGCCTCACTCCACTTCACCCAAGTCGATGTTTTGCTGCCCAGGGACATGCCCTTAGGTGTGAGCAGAGCAGCTCGGGAGAGCCCTTCATAACAAGCTGGAGTGGACTGTGTGCATTGGTACTTTCTGTTTTTCACAATCTGTCTTTCTCCCTTAGTGCATCTGGACTATGAGGTTAAGCACCAGCCGGAGCAGCATCAGCACTCCTCATTCCCCACCCTCAAACCCCCTCCCCTCGTCTCCCCGCCCTTTGAAGCAGGAGACGCATGATATAGGGGAGGGAGGCCCTTCAGAACAAGCTGGAGAGATTGCCTGAGATCGAACATGCCTTGGTGCACCTGGACTACGAGGCCGAGCACCGGCCGGAGCACCATCAGTACTCCTCGTTCCTCCCCTCAAACCCCCGTCCCCTCCTTCCCTCCTTCCTCTTTGAAACACATGTTCCTTTGGCAGGAGACGCATGATATAGGAGAGGCCCTTCAGAACAAGCTGGAGAGGCTGCCTGAGATCGAGCGTGCCTTTGTGCACCTGGACTACGAGGTCGAGCACCGACCGGAGCACCATCAGCACTCCTCGTTCCCCGCCCCCCCCGCTGCACCCACCATCACAACCCTCCCTCCTCCTGACACTCCCACTAGGTGATACATATCAAAACCTTTTGCCAACTGTTTGGCTCATCTGCATTGGACCCCTGAAAGTACCGTAGCGAAAACGTTGACGTTTGGACATGTCCGAATCAGGGCCCCAGACATCAGACTGGTTTTTTTAGGTTCATCTGATTTCTAAGAGCACCTGTTTATTTCGTCTAGTCGTTATATCGTGAGGAAAAGATGATGGGAGAAGGTGTCCGAACTCAGTCACTAACCACTGAGCTAAAAGGGCTTTTTTAGTAGTGCGCCCATAACCCCCCAGTGAGAGAGATGGCATGTAGCCCTTCCCTGAGGATCAAGGGCAGGCCCAGCGTGTCTCTTGACCAGGCCCCTAGATGTCAGCCTTTTTTCAGCCTTTTTTTTTTTTTTTTTTGGGTTGCGAAGCAACCTATTGCAATCGATCGGGCTGGTTTTTTTTTTCAAGTTTGTGAAATAAAAATTAAATGCTTTTTGTGATGGAAATAAAACATTTTATGTATAATAAAGTCTCATCATGAAATGCTCCGCAACCCTAAGACGATCTCGTCGCCTCTTGTTTTGGTACCTACAAAGTACTCTCAAACTTTTTGAGATAGGCAAGGCTGACCAGGCCCCCAAATTGGTTTTGGGCTTGTCTGATTCATCAGACTTGCCTGCCATCTCTAAAAAAAAAGAGTAACAAGAGATTTTTTGTATGATTAATCAGAGTTACCATTGTTTTTAACTCTGATTTCAAAGTTGGTATTTTGCACATTACTTTTCCCTTCCTTCCCAACCGCTGCCCTCAGACTTCTCCCTTGAGGAGCTTTCTCCTCTTGCGTGCACTAGTTAACTGTGTTCTGGCGACAGCACAGAATTTCACGCCACCCTAGACCCGGCCCCGCGCCAGCGCAAGTGTAATTGATCAGCGAGGCTGATGGAGAGGCTGTACTGTACTGTACAGCGCTCTCGCCAGGCCTGACAGAATATTTTTACTTTTCTAATCTCCCAGACAGACTGAAATACGATTTTTAAAATTTCAGATGAGTCCTTCAAGAGTTTCTTATCCCTCCCCCTCCCCGTTCCGCGTTCAGTAATTTCGCGTGCCTCAGGTCTCAGAGCAGCAAGATAATGAGTAACAACAGTACCGAACTATTTTACCTTGGGGGTTGTACTCTCTCAAGGCATACATCTAACTAGCCTATAATACCATATTGCATATATGTTTGACACACCCTCTAGGCTAGACAAGGGGTAGTGTCGGGCAAGAGGCACACAACTCAGGGTGGCACTACTAGTCCAACCTCTGAGGCAAGGGTCTGAAGACTAGTCAGGAGAGTACAAACAAGACAAGAGCAAACCAGGGCGGCACTACTAGTCCTGCCACAGGAGTAGAGGCCACAAGGCCAGTCACGAGAATATGATAAGAGTAGTACACAATCAAGGCTCTAGTAAGTGTGAAGCTACAGGAACTAGACCTAGTTGTACACGTGCCGCTGATGATCTTTAGGCGCAAGCGCCTTAGTAAAGATATCAGCTGTGTTGGCACCAGAGGCCAAGTGAACTACGCGAGCCTGGTGGTGTTGCTGTAGCTCGGGCAAGAGGAAATACCGCAGCTGGATGTGCTTTGCTCTGCCCTCTAGTCGAGGCTCCTAACACAGAAGGATCATGGCCCTGTTGTGATCATCCAGAACCAGGGCAGAGCTAGGCCGCTCACCTAAGTCTGTGAGCAAGAAGGTCAGCCAGCGGAACTGCTGTGCCACCATGGCACACGCGTAGGTCTCAGCCTCACAGCTAGACTGTGCAACAGACGACGAGCGGGTGGACCTCCATGAGATGGCCCCTGCACCAAGGCTAAAACAGTAGCCCTGGGAGGACCTGAGCGTCTCAGCGTTGTCTGCCCACGAAGCGTTTGTGTGTCCAGTCAGGACCATTGGTCTGCGTCCTCCTAGCACTAACCCCATGCCTGATGTACTTGCTAGATAGCGCAAAACCCTCTTAGCGGTCGACCAGTGCTGTGGTCGTTGTCTGCCTGTTGCCACAAAGCGAGCCAGAATGGTGAGAGGGTATGCGAGATCTCAACGAGTGCAAGTCATCAAGTACATAAGGCAACCCACCAGCTCTATGTATGGATCACTAGAGTCAATTGACTCCTCAGGGACTGGAGTCGAGAGCCCGTGATCTACTGGCAGAGGCGTGGGCTGTGGAGAACAGAACTGAAGGCCAAACCTCTGAAGAAGCTGGCGCACCAAGTGTGACTGTGTAAGAGTGATGGTGCGCGCTGCTCTGTCCCTGGAGATCTGCAGGCCAAGGTAGCGGCACAGCTCTCCGAGGACAGTGCAAGTGTGTCTCCTCAGCAGCCCAGCCTTCACGGAGGCCAATGCGTCTCTGTCTACAGTAGCAAAGACCAGGTCGTCTACGTTTACAAGGATGTAGAACGGGGTCTGACTCGAACGAACGAAGAGCGAGGGGTCTGCAGACGATGGGAAGAACTGCAGGTCAGCTATGGTATCACACAGCATGTCGTGCCACTCGTCGGGCGCCTGCCGCAGGCCGTAAACTGGGCGCCGAAGCAGCCACTCGGTCCCAGAGGCGAACGAGCCAGTAAAGCCTGGTGGGCGACGCAGCTAGAGTTGCTCGTGCAGACTGCCCTGAAGAAAAACTGTGGAGAAGTCGAGAGAGTGCAACTCGTAGTCACGCTGTGCTGCTACATGTAGCAGTGCCCGAAGAGTGGTCATCTTTGTGGTCGAGGCAAAGGTCTGAAAGAAGTCAACACTCTCGCGCTGACTGAAGCCTATAGCCACGTAGTGCGCCTTGAACACAGGCGGCTCTCCAGGGGGGCGCTTCACCTTGAAGAGCCACCGGCCATCGACTACGTTCACCCCAGGTGGAGGAAGTGCGTCGCTGAAGGTGCTGGTGGGTCTCCAAGATGCCATCTCCTACTCTTTGGCAGCTATCCACGGAGAGGCCCAGGGTCCCGAGGTCGCCTCAAAGTATGTGCGAGGGGTCGGGATGTCGAGGGCATCTGGATCACCCTCAGGGACTAGCACCATGGAGCAGAGATGAGGTGCAAGCTCGAACAAGGAAGCTAGCTCGTATTGCCTGTCCTCTAGGACGTCAGTGCCAAGGGCAGGAGCACCCCTAACGGACGGAGTACAGGCAGGGTCAGAGACCAGAGCGGTGGTGTAGTCAAGGCCGCGGGTAGAGACAAAGTCAGCGACAGTAGCAACAAGCGCGTCGAGACTGGAGACAGGAACAGACGGGTCGGTAACAAGGGAGGCAAGGACCCAAGGAACAAGAGGACGATTAGCACGAAGGACGTCAAAGAAAGGAGGCGGCGCGACAACGAGCAACGACGGAGGAGGCGACGGGAGGAGGGGAGGACGAGATGCATGAGAACGAAGCAACATAGGGTGAGAGCGGGGAATAGGAGAGACAGGACGAGCACGAGAGGGACGGCGAGACCAAACGTGAGAAGGAGGCGTCAGGCCAAGAGACAAGGGAGGAGACACAGGAGGGGAACGAGGGGGAAAACGAGCCCGAGACGAGTCCGGCGGAGGAAACACAGGGCCGTAGACAGGCAGGTGAGGCGGCGGCGAAGGAGGCGCATGCGGGGGGTCGGGGGAAGGAAGACGGGGAGGCGAAGGGCCGACACCGACGGCGACTGCTGCGGCTGTGGCTCCACGCCGATACCAGAACCGCCAGCTGCACCACGGCTACCTCCTAGAAGCTCCATGCCAGCACCCCTAGAACGGGAACCCTCTCCATCACCGGTGCCACCCCCATGACCCGTGGACCCCGGCGGCAGCTGCTGCTGCGGCGACGACTGCTGCGGTGACTGCTACGGCTGCAGCTGCGGCAGCGGCGACTGCAGCTGCTGCTGTTGTGGTGACGGCAGCTACTACGGCGACAGCAGAGGAGGAGACACTGGGGCGGAGACCGGTGGCGAGAATGGAGCCGCGAGGCCACCAGAGTCAGACGACTCCTCGAGCGGGACAACCGATGGGAGGGGAGTGACGTGAGACACACCAGACGGGGCAGGACGGGGGGGGGAAAGGAGCAGGGGCTACCAGGGGAGTGGGAACTAGAAATGGGGGAGGGGAAACCGGGAGACCTCTGTGAGGAAAGTGGTGTTAGAAGAAGACAGCCTCGTCAAAGGTGACGTCACGCGAGTGAAAGAAGCGGTGGGAAGATGGGTGGTAAAAGTGCCAGTTGGACGAGTCGAGGGGGAAGCCAAGGAAGACACACGGGACTGTATGGGCTGTAAGCTTGTCCGTGCCAGAGGCACGAACGAGAGCAAGGCAGCCTCGGACGTGGAATGCAGATGCGTCACCAGGGAACCCAATCTAGAGAAGGATTGACGAAACCATCGGCCGCTGAGAGTGCGGCCACATGTTGAGCTGGTGAGCGGCGTAGCGAACAACGAACGGCCACAGAAAATGGGGTGCACCGGCATGGATCATGGAGGTACGAGCCACCTCGATGACCAAACCGATGCGTCGCTTAGCGATCCCATTCTGCTGCGGGGAGTCCGGTAGGGTGTACGACTGGGTGATGCCCTCCGCACGACAGAACTGACCCAGCCGACCAGAGGCGAACTCGCCACCACGGTCGGGGTGGAGACACAACACGGGGAGACCGCGGTGGACGCGCGCAGCTACGACCCACGGGATAAGAACGTCAGGCACATCGGCCTTCCGCTCCAGAGAAAACACCGTGGTGTAGCGGGTATTATTGTCGACAAGCACTAGAAAGTAGCACTCTCAACGCAGCCCGGGGACGGGGGCTGGGCCCCATAAGTCCAGGTGTAGGTTCTGCAGTGGCGTGGTGGCAGGGCGAAGTGAGGAGGAGTGAGGAGCACGGCACATCTGGCCCTCAAAGCAAGGCGTGCACGGTGGCGCAGGCGAGGGAGGGAGGGCAGGGAGCGACACAGGGAGACCTAGGACAAGACCGTGCTGGGACATGTGACGCGGACGAGGGAGTGCGGGGTGACCTAGACGGTGGTGCCACAGAAGTGACGGGTGAGTGAGCCTCCGACACAAGTAGGCCGCAGCGACCTGAGTAGACACAGGCACTTGGGGGGACGCCCTTACCAAGGGGGAATCAGTGTCGAGGGTAAACAGGCTAGACCGAGGGTCCCGGGGGAACATGGTGAGGGGGGTACCTGTAGCGGCGTCGGTACAGACCGCGTACCGCTCGTGTCCAAGGAACAAAGTGGTGACGCCGAGGTCCCGAAGGCTGCCGACACCAACTAGGTTCCTGGAGAACGAGGGGATGTGCAGGCCTGTAAGGGAGCCTGAGGGAACCGCCAGACAGGGAAGGGTAGTGAAACTACGAGCAACTACCGGACCGGAGGAGGGGTCAGCAAGCGCGACAGCGGTAGGGGCGG